AAGTATAAAAAAAAAAAAAAAGTAAATTTAAAGAAAGGTCTCGAAATGCTCGTCGACCTTATACTGATTTCCTTGGCTCTTAATATGACCGGTTTTTTAAAAATGTTTTTTTTTGTTTTTCATCGTCTCGATCTATCTTCCCTGTAGCGGGTTCGAGTTCGGCATAAAAAACATCACCTCATCCTCATCCCTTTAAAAGTTTACTCTTCTTCAGGTCTCGACAACAAAACCCTCTTTCTCTTTCTCTCTCTCTCTCTCTCTCTCTATCTTTCTGTATATAGGCTTGGAGCTTGTAGCTGGCATTGGTATTATATTGGGGACAGAGATAGAGGATATAATAGCAGCCCGTCGGACGAGTTGTAATAGAGTGTAGTCGTGAAAGAGTGAGTGAGTACATAGCGAGAAGCTCAATAGTATTTGAGAACCGTTAGAACCCCAGTGGTAACCACCCATAACCGCCCCTGGTTGCCTGAAGGTTCTACTTGATTGCCAAGGTATCTTAACCTCGACTCAAGCTACAACCACCACTGGCACACTGTCTTCTATGGTGTCTAGTGTCTACATGAGGATCAGTGTGAGTAAGAGTATGCACTGGATATGAAAAGTCCGCGCGGACTCGAGACCGCGACTCGCGTTTCTATTTAAGGACCTATAAGAGTTGCCGGCTGCTCGCTTCAGCCAACAACCGTCCCGATAAAACAACACCCACGCCCAGCCGGAATAAAGAGGCGTAGCGAGAATTAAAAAAACTCGAATCCAATTCTTGGCAACAACAATCCAACGCCAATCGCAGCCCGACTTTGAGCTTTTATTTTCGAAATTTACCGACCAACACATCTCCGGTTTAATGAATGTGCACGCCAACACATCTAGAAGAACCCTCTCTTGACGTGGAGCCTTCAAGTCCGCGCGGACTCTTACGCAGAGCATTATTATTATACTTTATATACGGATATATACGGGGACGAACAACCCCACTGAGAACTGAGAATAGAGTCAGTGCCATGCCGAGTGTCCTGAAAATAGGTATATAGGTACATCCAACATACATACACAAAAAATCCAAAAAGAAGGACATTATTGTAGCCCCTGGTCTCTGGTTCACTTTGCCATCCTCTGAACACACTTTCTAGGGCTTCAGTTTTGTTTCTATTTCTATTTCCACGCTATTCTAGGCAAAGTTCGCTCTTTCTAGAGGTTTTTCCCCCCACTTGCAATAAAAAACCCGAGTTTCCACGTATATTTGAAGTGCGCGCTAAATTTCTCGATTCTGATTCGCTGTTCAAGAGGAAAATGTCCGCGCACCTTCAAAGAAGGCGTCATTTAACCTTTAAACAGAGTCTCTGTGTTAAATCAAAGATATATATGACTTGAGGGGGTATTATGGTCTAGAAATTTGAAAAAATCGATTTTTTTTTTATTTTCAAAGTTTAGACCCTTAAGAACATGTCCTTAAATGGATTTTTAAAAATACGAATTATTTTCGGAGATACAGTGGATTTTGTGACGCAGCTGATTCTGCTTCTGCTTTTTCAAAAGAAGGCAGAACAGCTCGATTAGCAGAAAGAACTTCGCAAAACATCGAGTATGAAGTAGAAGAAGGCCCAATTTATGGATCTGGGATCGCCGATTAATCCAAAGTTAGTATTAAATATTATTATCCGAATTATTCTACTGAAATTGTTTCTCAAACTTTAAACGCGATTTTCTTTGTAATTTGGTGAGAATCTTTTTTATATATCTCTCTATCGCGTCTGCCTTGGATTTTAGAAAATTTCAATTTGAAGTATTTTTAAAAAATTCGTAAAGATAAAAAAAAGGAGTAAAAAAAAATTGATATTTCATGTCGACGCTATTTTGTGAATTTTTTTTTTTTTAGCTAGGGTCAACGCGATAGCGACATCTTCATTAATTGAGAATTTCTCAAATTTTTTTTGTTTCAGATCACTACAAGGGCTGGAATCATGTCAACCAGGGTGCACCGTTTTTTTTTTGTAGCCCCCACTTCACCAGCCTGTAATTTTTCAAATTTCTGATTTTTTTAAAAATTTTTTTTTATATTTTTTAAGTCAATAAACATCATATAAAAAAAAAGGATACTAAAAATCGACGGTTTAATTAGCAATTGGTCTAACTCCTTATTTTGTAGAGGGTGATTTTTTAACATTTTGATGTAGCAATTGTTCAATTATAAATTATTTGAATGATCCAAACTAAAATATTGTATTTTTAATAGATATTGAATGGTTTTTTAAAGAGATAATCAATTTTTTACTAATTACTTTATCGTACAACTGGAAGATTCTCTAAAATCGAGTTAGAAAATTTGCTAATTAGAACGTCGAAATGTTATTCATTTTTTTTTTATGTTAGTTTGAAAAATGTCTAAAATTTAGGCTTCTAGACCAGAATACTCCCTTAAATGTTATAAGTATGGAGAGTTTAGAAATAAAAAATAGATGTTTCTAGGCTATATGAAAGCGTTAGACGAGTTTATAGGGCCTAGTCTGAGTAGTTGGACATTACTCGACATCCGGGTAATTAATGCCGTCGATAAGCTTGCCATTTTGGTCGTTCGCGGCGCCATTTCCTTGACTAATATTCTCTGAGCGGTTAATGCTGGTTAAATGCCCATTAAAGATTCAAATCGCAATCACATAAGCAAACGCTCGGTTATCTTGCTCTTGTATCTCGAATTATAATCACAAAGCCTGGGAATTACCTTTTTTATTATTTTAACGTCTTATTATACTGAAAAGTAATTTATTTTATTTTATTTATCTTTGGATCTAGATATTTATATTTATGATCATCGCGGCTAATCTGTATGAGTTAGTTTTACCTCCTGCTAGGCGAGTAATAAAAACCCATAGAGGAATCCGTCGACCAGACCCGGACAGATGGATAGGAGAGCTTACAACGGATAATTAAAATGTTGATGAGTCACCGGGTAGTGACAGCATATGAAGCCGCATCACCTTAAATATGAGTATTCATTTTCTTGCCGGCAAAGACGCATCGAGTAAAAGCCCTAGTTATTATATTTTATGTATATGTGTATATGGCGTAATGTGTAATGCAATATAAAGCTGCGGTTGTTGGGCTTTATGTTCTCTTAGAGTTTCGGTAAGACGGAGTTTAACGTCAGGTAGCAATTATCGTATGCTTGACAACGCTAAACTATAATACCTCGTGAATCTTCTCGGAAATTCATTTAACGCCTCTACTTTTTTATTTTTTCATCACACTAACTAAACATAAGTAAAGTGTGACTGTATACTTCTGTTGACACATTAATATTCTTCAGCTAATAGCCTCCATATGTTGTTTCCGGTTTCTAAAAATTATTTTACCGAATTACTTTGTACATAACATTGTTATTTAAAGTACTTTATTTGTTTTTTTGATATAAATTTATTTCTGTCTAAATAATAAATTCGAGATAATATGGTCATGTCCCTGGAATTTTAAATAAATTAATATTATTTATTGAGCTTTTTTAAATCCTGTAGAGTAATTCTGACTATAAATATTTCATATTTTTAAATAAATTTATTTTTCTTAGCCGTTAGAGGCGCTAAATAATGTTCATAAAAATAAGATAAGTTACCGACTGAATTATTATTTTTTCATTCAAAAATAATAGAGATCTATAATTTGATAAATAATATTTTTTCAAATTTTCGTACAAATTATAATTACTATGATTAAATTTTTGAATTTTTTTTTTTTTATATTCTGTCTAAAAAATCTAAGATATGAAAAAAATGATAAAGACCTTTTATATAGAGAATTTAATTTCCTACGAAAAAGGTTTCATCATTTTTTTGTATTTCCAATTTTTGGCCCAAAATAATAATATTTATAACAATTCATAAGAAATGATTCAAATTTTTTATATCATGGCAAAAATATTGGTCCTCTAAAAAAATTTTTTCAAAAAAAAGTTGTTAAAAATTTAATTTTATAAAAAAATTTTTCCTTATATTCTTCCCTCAGGATCAATAATTTCACCGTAATTTCAAAAGTAAGTAATAATTATCACAAAATTTGAACCTTTAATTATGAATCGTAATTTTGGAATTAAAGCGAAAATATTAGTTTTTTCTTTAAATCATAAGAAAAATTTTTTTTATAAAATTGAATTTTCAACAACTTTTGTTCCATAAATTTTTTTTGCCGTATACGGTAAAGTAACATGATGACACTGGATATCATCCCAGATTATACTGAGTGAAAAAAAATTTCAGATAGTAGGTAGTATAATCCAGATATCTCGCAGTCAAAAGTAAGTAATAATTATCACAAAATTTGAACCTTTAATTATGAATCGTAATTTTGGAATTAAAGCGAAAATATTAGTTTTTTCTTTAAATCATAAGAAAAATTTTTTTTATAAAATTGAATTTTCAACAACTTTTGTTCCATAAATTTTTTTTGCCGTATACGGAAAGAACATGATGACACTGGATATCATCCCAGATTATACTGAGTGAAAAAAAATTTCAGATAGTAGGTAGTATAATCCAGATATCTCGCAGTATAATCTGGATTTTTTAAGTTACAATCTGAATTTTTTTTTCACCACAGATGTCACTGAGTATAATCTGAGATGATATCCAGTGTCATCTTGTTCTTTCCGTGTAATAGAATTTAATTTCCTACAAAAAAAGGTCTCTTATAATTTGTTGGTATCTCCAATATTTCCCCGAAAATAATAATAGTAATAATAATAATAATAATAATATTTATAGATTTTTATTCACTAGACATTTTATTAAATTTTAGCAACATTACAGTTAATTTAATAACCACGTGTACAAACGGGTTACATTGATTAATTGTCAACCAACTATTGATCGATTGATTGATTACATATTTAATTAATTAATCAAAAGTAAATAATTATATAAACCAATCCATAACCATCATTACAAGCAAGTTATGTCTTACGTTATCAATTAATATTAATATTAGTGATATCATTTAAATAAATTCAATTACTTCGGTGGTATATTTGGATCAGTGAAAAATTTAGTGGCGTTGGGAAAACGCAGAGAGTCTGGAAAATCAGGTGTCTCGTATCTCCGCGGATTAAGACTCTCGCGTATCGCTTCGCCAAATGCGCGTCTTACTGTCGGTTCAGCAATCAGAGCTGAGATGGCACCGTCGACTTCCTCGGAGCCGGCGCGACCAATGCTCTCCCTCACCAGACGTTCCATCGAGGCTGTTACCACGGAATTACTGTTGCTCGACGGGCTGACGAGCAACGAGGGCTTCTGCTGCTCGACTATTTTGCGGCGTTTGCTGGGCATAGTAGCGAGGTACGCGTCGCTCAACGTTGTCACGTTGTTGTCTGATAGACCCAACGCTAATTGTCTACGTTGTCTGATTCCGTCTCGAGCGATGATTGGTACCCAGTCCTTGGGATAAAAAATAAAATTTAAATATTAGATCTATAATTATAATTAAAAATTTTTTTTTAAAGTTTTGATTATTGAAAAAAAAAAAAAAAAAAAATACTTACGGGTAATAAACTATTGTGACCTGGGAATGTGGAAGGAACTTCTTCATTATCTAAAAGCGTGTCTGATGATTGTTCGTTTGAGGATACATCGATATCCATCGGCTGAAAAAAAAAATAAATTATTAATAACAGCCGATAATCTATATCATTAAGAGAATAAGTAAAATTTTGTGGCCAGTGTATTTATATAATAAAATGGATTTTTATAGTTAAATTTAATATCATTAGAAAGGTCTTGGTTGACCTGGAGCTGTGCCTTTTCAAGATTTCATATCATTCTCACCAATTGTCAATTTATGATGATAAGTATTTAGGCTGCGTTCGAAAATGCTCTATCACTAGATACATAATTTAGAAATGAACTTGTATCTTGTGAACTATTGACATTTTTAAAGGTATAAACTCATCCCGATGTTACACTCATCGAGACCTTTCATTTGAGTACCCACATCAATTTTTCATATATTTTATATTTTTATATAATGTATGTAATGTATACATGAAAAATATATCAAAATGCATGTGGGTATTCAAATGAAAGCTCTTGATGATTGTAACATCGTAATGAACTTATATCTTTAAAATCGTCAATAGTTGAGAAATAACATTGTATTTTGTCAACTAATAACATTTTTAAAGATATAACCTCACGCTGACATTACTCATCGAGACCTTTCATTTGAGTACCCACATCAATTTTTCATATATTAATATATACTATATATATGTATATATGAATAATATATCAAAATGCATGTGGGTATT